GCACTTGCAGCCCACATGGTTCCATTTTTGGTCCTTCCCAATTTTGTTCTGGCAGTCTGGTTTGGCTCAGCTCGGTCACTTTCTGGGAGCCCATTTTGGTAACGAAGCAACTTGGAAAAGAGTCATTTTGGAACCTACGTTTCACCCCAAGATCATGATTAGATTGGTGAGATCTAGTTGGCATTGGTTACCAGCTTTGAAGGTATAAACCATAAACTTTGGTTGAAACTGCTGCTTGTCATGGCTCCTGAGTTTTAGACACTAAACTTTGAGTTGGAAATATGATATGGTATCCGATTTTGAAGCATTAACTTTCAAACATATCAAAATATAATCTTTCTTTGAATTGATCTTGGGTAGACAGGGTCGACAGGGAACCTCAAGCCGAAAGTCCCCTCCCTAGATTTGCCCAGCACTTTCTATGTTAAGATTGAATGCTTTTCAATGAGCACAAGCATACGAATGAGTGGGCCTATGGCTAACACATTTGGTGTTCAAATCAGACAAGTGTTACGATAGGCATCCATTCCTGCAATAGATCCATCTACGACATCTGGCCATTACCAGATGAGATCGGCATGCTGCACAGCCGGCTCAAGCACAGGGAAAAACCTTCTCAGAAGGGAAAAAAACCTTGCCGTCCGGAATCGACAAAACAGAAAAGCAAAACCCGCAACAAGGACGGGGGGAAGAGCTGGACCCCTCAGGGGACGACTGCCCACAAATTGTGTAAGAAAAAGGTGTCATAGCCCACTCACTGACCAGCACACGACATCATCATCCAGAATGCAGTTGCACAGGCCGATAGCCCCTTAAGGATCCAAGAGGAGCTCAGCCACGGCAGTGTGCACCCCCGGGGCCTGATCCTCAATCAAAGCTCGCCGGCGGCGGATGGCCCGTCCAGTGGCGCGAGACAAGACAACAGAGATCTGCCCCAGCAACCGAGCTTTGACATCGTCGAGGGCGGCTCCTTCCACAAGAGCAACCGCTCCAGACAGACGGTGCAGAAAGGCACGCGTCTCAGGGGTGCAGCCTCCTTGTGCTTCCCACACCAGTGGCAGATACCGCACACCTGCTGCCTCACACAAGGCTTCGGTGCGGTTGTGCTGGCGCTTGCGGCAGGCGTAGGCCTGACAAGCAGAGCCGCCCACCTGCCGGGTTTCATCCCAATGGTTGTCTCCAAGGGCGTTCACCACGGCAATGTCCAGGGCGAGGCATGGAGTGCTCAAAGGCACCGCGCCGTCTGGCAAGCGTGGAACTAAATGCGTGGCCGCTCGGACCAACACATCGGCAGGCCGCCGGCGGCCGCTCTGCAAGAGGGGCTCTGTTGCAATAATCGTCGAGAAGGTCCCGAATCCCGTTGTGGAGGACAACATGGTCACCACCAGCCATGCAACTCAAGGCATGGCGTCCCTTGCAGTCCGCTGGCTTCCCGCAGAAGCGGCAAGGCCCTCCTCCACACACATCGACTCCCAGCCGGCAACCTATGAGAGCAAGGAAGTCGGAACTGGACAATGTAGTGTCAAGTGTGTATGAAGGGGTGAGCCCCAACACTGTAGCGGCACCATCGACTGCGAAGGCTTGAAGGCGACACTGGTCATCGCTGCCTGCCCGGCTGCACCACGCTCCAAGGGAGGCCTTGCCCAGCATGCTGCTCAAATGGGTTTGCGTAAGGTGCTCGTGGTCATTGGTCTGGAAAGGTACGGGCACCGTCGGTGTGCTCAGCCGGTCCCAGCACCGTTGGAGAGCAGCGGAAAGATCACTGGCAACCCCATTGCCGGCATCCCATCGGAACACTGGCCAGACGGCACACCCACGCTCCAAAGTTGCAGCACGTGAGCCAATGTAAGCGGCATCGGCAACAGCCACCGATGGTCGTAGGCCTAGGCCGCCGAACTGCACAGGGAGAGTCGCTTGTTCCCATGCCAGAGGATGCGGATGGAAGCCGGTCAGAGCGCAGAATGCATCACGTACACCATCGTCAAAAAGCTGTAGGGCCGGACCAGAAAGCCGAAGAGGGGTGGTTCGGGCCATGTAATTCATACGCCCGGCCCCGCAGGAGAAGCGGAGGAGGTAGTACCCGACCTGCACATCTGACAGTTGCCCAACGCGGCGCACCACGTCAACTTGTTTGCCGGCTCGCTCTCGGCAGTAGGCAAGGCAAAAGGCATCGGTGCCAACGGGGGAGCGCAGCACCTCATAGTTGCCATCGGCCTGGATAGTGCACCCCAAGGCGGCAAAGCCCGAATAGTCGATGGGAGCACTGGCTACTGCAGGGGCGACAACGGCACTAGAGAGCCGCAAGCCCAACTGGGGCAGGACCCCTTGCCAATGCACCACGCATCGAAGTACTTCGGCAGAAGGCCCGGCCAGCAAGCCATCATCTGCAAAGCAAGGCGCCATGTCCAACTGTGCAGGTGGAGAGAGCACAGGGACCTGCACGCTGCTTCCTGGAAGCGGCGGCACAACTCCCAATGACTCCAGCAACAACCGTTGAACCACAGCATGGCAAGCCATCATGAGGGGGCATCCTTGTTGTCCACCAGCAACAGATTGGAGGATCTCACCATGGAAGAAGACGTTGGTGGCAATGTCTGTGGGGTATATGTATTCCAACCAGCGGCTCAGGCCAGGCACAACTTCCCGCATGCGTGTCAGGAACACATGGCGGTCGACCGCGTTGTGGGCATTCCCCTCGTCATAGGAAAGGCAAACCCGGTCAAGGTCGTTGCTGTGATGGTGCTGCCATTGGTGGTGGAGGTGCGGCATAACTTCAGCCCCGGATCGGACACCAACTGCCAATTGGTACGGCAGCAGGTGTTCACGGAGGGCCGGAAGCTCGGAGCGAAGGAGCACCTTCCCGACCAGCCGGCGGAAAGATTCGCCGGCACAGAGCGGCCGCACGTCAGCCCCACCAGTTTTGGAAACTTTGTGAAGCGCTGTGCCCTTGGCCCCGCCAAGGTAAGGCCGGAGACCAGCTGGTGCCCCGCCATCGGCCAAGAGATTCACCAAGGCAGTGATCAGGGGTAGGGCTCGGCCTTCTTCCGCCCCGCGTCCAACAAGTTGCTGCAGAAAGTCTGGTCGCAACCCACTTGGCCCGGGAGCAGCCCCGCGAGGGAAGCTGCGGAGTGCCTTGGCCACATCATCAGCGGAGACTTCATTGGCTGGCGGGGCCGGGGCTCGAGAAGAAGTTGCTTGGTGTGGTGGCCGGCCTGGAAATTTGGCGCGCATGGCTGCAACAACTGCCGGAGTGGGATCAGCCACAGGTGCACCAGTAAGGCGTTGTATGGCTTTGCCTGGCAAGCCGCGGCGAGCCAGCTGAACGGCAGCTTCAGTCTGCCGGAGTTCTCGTTCAGCAGTGCTAGAACAGCTGCGGCTCGGGTGAGCACGGCCAACAGCCTCGTCCCAAAGGGAGCGTCGCTCGCCATGCCCCCACCGCTGTAGCCGGTTGGCCGACAGGTTGTGGTTGCGGCGTTGCTTGGCCCGCCCACCGGGCAAAATGCCCAGACACGTCTTGGGGAACATGAACAGCTCGGTCCAGGCAAGCCGACACCGGCGGTGAGCGGCCGTATCACCAGCACTGCCGATGTGATCCCAGGCGCCAGAGCAGTTGTGCTGGAGGACTTGCACCAGGCACCGCAGAAACTCTTTTTCTGCAATGGGTAGCAGCCCCGCACTCACGAAGTCCCTGGTGGCGACGGGGGCGGAGAAAATCTCGTCCAGCGAGGGCAGACTAGCCAAGGTCTGGTCCACACTGTGCTGGTCCCCGTCTGTCAGCAAGGGGCGTGGCGGGCGACGGCTCAGCCGTGCTCCCATGCAGGTACGGTGCACTCCTCCACTGCACCGTCGGCTGACGAGTCGAGAGCACTCCGGGCAGACAGTGAGCCCCTTGGCGCGCAGCCAGTCCACTGGCGGGGCACCAGGAAAAGCTCCAAGCTGGTGTGCATTCATGTGGGCCCGCGGGGCAGCCGCCGAACCCCAACCAGCATGGCCAGTGGCGCAATGGGCGACACAGCCTGGAATCGGGCAGTGTTCACGCCCGCCCCCCAGAGCGGCATCATCCATGTCCTCGTCGCCATCCGGGATTGCCATGGGCACGTCAGCGCCCGAGCCACTCCCCCTCGCACGGGCACAGCGGGCAGGGCGTTCGCCCCCCAGAGGCGTGCCCGGCGAAGGAGCCATGGCTCAAGCGTCGCAAGAAATCAGAACCATTCAGTGCTTGAGCCAAGTGTTACTGTTTGCTTGTTTGTTTTGCTGTTTGTCTTTATGCCTGTCTGTATGTAGGTATGTTTGCATGCATGCGTGCATGGATGCACGTCTGTGGCAGGTGTGTGCAGTTTCAGCTTGTCAAGTGTGGCAGTTGTGTGTTTGTGTGTGTGTGTGTGTCTGTGTGCGTGTGTCAGTTGAGTGTCTTTTGGGTGTGGCAGCTGTGTGTCAGTTGGGTCTTTTGGGTGTGGCAGTTGTGTGTCAGTTGAGTCTTTCGGGTGTGGCAGCTGTGTGTCAGTTGGCTCTTTTGGGTGTGGCAGTTGTGTGTCAGTTGAATCTTTTTGGTGTGGCAGTTGTGTGTCAGTTGAGTCTTTTGGGTGCGGCAGCTGTGTGTCAGTTGAGTCTTTTGGGTGTGGCAGTTGTGTGTCAGTTGAGTATTTTGGGTGTGGCAGTTGTGTGTCCGTTGAGTCTTTTGGGTGTGGCAGTTGTGTGTCAGTTCAGGGTGTGGGTTGGGCGTTTGGCTGTGGCAGCTGTGTGTCTTTGGGTTTCTGTGAGCATGGCACTAACCTAACATCAACCCATGATACCTGACAATTCTTGGAGAGAAGATCATGGTAGAGAAACTTCCTAAAAAGTTTTCGCGACCGTCAGTTCCGGGGTTCCCCGTCGCAGGTTCCCCGTCGCAGCGAGATCACAAAGGATCTGAAAAGTGGGTGAAAGCCGCTCACAACCTTCCAAGCCAGAACCCCCACCATGACCAAATACATGTGAAAAATGACAAAGCGACTCATCATTCACCTCAAAGCACAGCGTGTGTACTTGTCGGCCAAGAAGTCCGTGATCATTGTGTTCCTGATTGGTACCGGCAGCCAACAAAACCCCAACTGTGTCAACCTGCATGTCAATTGGTGTCAGTACCTCGTCGACTTCATCTTTAGAAATCTCACCTACCTCCAACATCTCACACAAGAACCTGTGTCACCGACCTGATGATTCAACTGACAGGCATCTGAACCACCTGAGACATCGGCCGCACCATGACCAATCACCCCATCCCGTCCGTCCTCGTCAAAGCACCCAGCAGCCTGCAGTGAACCGAGAGGCGTACACGAACCGACCAACCCAGCTGGAACACTCAATGAGGGGGTGGAAACCGCGGGAGAAATGGGGTCATCAGCACCGGTATATGCTCGCGCTCCGCGGTCACGAGGTGAGACAGAAACCCTACGCCGGAAGAGCTGACCCCCCTCAGTACACGAACTTGTCGGCTTTGGCGCGCCGCAGACAGGGCAGTTCATCCTGCGCGCAAACACATTCCTCCTGTGATTGACGCATGCCACCGTCGGACATTGCCAGTCAACCGGGTAAATGCGAAGCTCCGTGCAACCATCATCTCGTCCTTCACGAGGCTCCCCAACAGCCCTTCTGCGAATCTCCTCCCTTTGGCGAGGGTCAAGTGAGCGACTTGGAGATCGCGGCATCTGCTTGGCTCTGTGCCCATGATTCGAGCTGGCCTCCGTGCCATCAGCCGCTACCTCAGTCGCGGCCTTGGGGCGCGCTTTGGACTTGGCCGCCAGGTGCACCACCTTGGGGCCGTGCACGGGCTGTGCAACTTCTGAATCTTTTGTTTCGGCTTGGGCACGCTGGCTCTTGTAGTCTGAGTCCTCGGGCTTGTACTCTGGGTCCTCAGGGCCATCAGCCTTGCCTTTTTTTTTCCTTTTTTCTTCTTGGAGTGATCAGCCACAGCCTCATAGCCCTCTTCGATACCGACCTCTGACTCCTTTTGTTGGGCCTTGTAGTCATACTCCTCGATCTCAGGCAGCGCCAAAGACCGAAAAAAACGCCATGGCGTGTCACTTGAGACCACTGTGGGCCAAGTGATCTGAGCCTCTTTGGACTCGTAGTAGAAGGTCCACCCTCCGACGACCGGAACCTCTGTCTTCACCACACAATTCGCGACCATGCTCGGTGACGGGACAAAAATTTCAGGGCAGGCAGGCAGTGAAACCTCCAAGCCTTCATGTTCCCAAGCCGCACAACCCGAAGGCAAGAAACGCAACACGGATGCGTTGACCAGCTGTTTCAGTTTGCTCACATGAGCGATGGCACAGATCCAAGAGGGCATGGCTTGCACATCACCATACAACACGGCCAGTGGAACCCACGTAAGGTCATTTGCGGTTTTCATTAACTCAGCCTTAGGTGGCACCAAATCAGCACACCAAAGCGGTATGCCATCAGGATTCAGGGGAACACCGGCTTCCCCCCCACCGACCTTTGCTCCGTGTTGAAGACCGACCTGATTTGGGACCAAACAACAAATCCCTCAACTGAGTCGTAGAGAGGGGGACACCACCTTCAGAGGATACCTCTCCCTTAGGAAGGGTCGGCATCTCCAATCCGTCTATCCAAATCTCGGAGGCCGTGCGTTCGGCCCTCAAAACATCAGCCAAGTTCTGAATTGGTTCCACCGCAGGATCACGTTTCCACAACGCATCCAAGACCGACCTGTCAACCCGACGCTCTGGCTCCTCGTCCGAAATCACCAGAAAACGCAAGATGTCACGATCTGCGTCTCCAGCTTCTCTCCAACGTCTTCGAAGAAGTACCATCAATGGATCACCGGACAATTCCCGAACACGATCCGGGTCAACTGTCGCCCCAGTATGCCCTGCAAGGAAACCAAAACCTGGCCCGTTGTTGAGCCCAGCCAAAAGACGCAACAACCTGCTGTAGCCAGCGACAATGCCATCACCAGCTGGGGCACGCAGCAACGCCGAACCCCAGTCCATCACATACCAACCGTCTCTACCCCTGGTAGGTGGCTCGAACCAGAAACTCTATATATATACCCAATTATATTTATGTGGTTGCTGATATCATGATATATGATCATGATCACGGTAACCATGATAATTATGCTCATGGCAAAGAAGAAGAATCATCATCATCAACAACAACAACAACAACAAAGAAAAAGAAGATGATGATCGGGATCATGGTGATGATGATGATGATGATGGTGATGATGATGATGATGATGATGCTGATGATGATGCTGATGATGATGATGATGAGAATGATGATGATGTTGATGGTAACGATAATGTTGTTGATGAAGATGATGATTTCAATGACTTCATATATGTGGTTGTTGATGGTGATATCCCCCCTTTTAAGGAGGTAGGGTAGGTACGCATTGAAATATTTCAAATTTGGGTGTGTTTTCCTATACCTCGAACTATTTCAGCTAGAAATTTCTGACTTGTCCCAAAAAAAAATGTATATACGGTAAAATAAGGCAATTGGACAATCTTGACGCTGTCAAGTTGTGCATCAACGGGCACCTATGGATGTGGTCAAGTACGTGCAAACCGGCTGGTGCACGCATTTTCATATTTTTTTGTCTCCCCAAGTCTTGCTTGTGAATTTTTGAAACGGGGAGCTGCAAAGCCATTGTGTTTCACAGCTCTAGAAACACATTGCGGGCGTACGATTCTGTTTCTTCATATCTTCAAAGGCCAGGGGCAGAAGTTCGCAGAGGTCATGCGCGGTTTGTTTTTTGATCTATGTGTATCCAGTTGACATATCTAGGCTAAAGTCGGGCATCCGGAGGACACACCCCCACCCTTTTTGGAAACCCACAAAACACGTGGAGGAGTTGATATTTCACGTGGTCAGGCAAAATACTCTCCAGATTTGTTTTGCCTTCCCCCCGAAATATTCCAGGGTTAAAGGGGGGGGATATGGTGATGATGATCATAGTGATCAGGCGCGTTCCAAAGCGATGCGTTTAGGTGTGATCCAAATCCAAAGCGAGAACATTACCCGCACGTTCGCTCAAAACGGTTGTCGCGGTGTTGGTCTGCTGCATTGAAGATTGTCGCATGAAATTGCCGGTGTGTCATGTCCATGTGCCTTCCGACTGCGCAGGTTCGCACAAAGCGTGGGTCGCAGTCTTATCATGGCCTTGGGGCGCGGCATTTTACTTCAGAATTCTACCGTGAAATTGCCCTTCAAAGATGTCCATGCCGATTTCAACCGCGCAGGCTCGCACAAAGTGTGGGTCGTTGTCTCATCATGATCTTGGGGCCGGCTGGGCGCGGCATTTTCCGTGATATTTTTTCGTATAAAATTGCTCTTGTGACATGTCCATGTCCGATCCTTACGTGACGATCTTGTGGAAATCTTGGTGCAATCCTCTACGAGGTCCTTGCGTGCTCTTGCACAGTTTCTCATGAAAAGTTTTGTAGGGACCCGGGTGAAATATCCCCCTGTGCTTTCTGGGGGTGAAGATGTGCCAAGCAGTTTTTTCACTATAGAATGGTCCCAGCACAACCCTAAAAATTGTAAATTTTCTCACTATAGAATGGTGCCGTTTTTCCAAGCACGACTGCGCATAAGATTACATAAGCCCGCTTTAAACGAGGTGCACGACTATATTAAAATAGCCAACTTAATTGCAACATCCGAGCACAGGTGGAACACAAGTACTCCCATAGGACAACAGGACAGGCAGTACAAAATGCAGTAGCACAACAGCAATTTTTTCTGTAATACTTCCACTCTAAAATGTAGAGCCTATAGAATTGTTAGCACAACCCTCATATAGGTGCGTAGGCACCCTATAGAATTGTTGGCATAAGTCTAATATAGGTGGCGTATGCTCACTATAGAATTGTTTCGCAGGGATCCCCCATAAAAAAACCGAGCACGAGAACACTTTTCTATATAAAAACACCCCTGTGCCAACCGAATTAAGGCAAGCACAAGTTCACCCTTTTTATAGTGGAAATTCACACAGGGATGGTGAAATCAGCTAGGAGGTCGTTGCAAAAGAATTGCACGATCGTGTACAAGTCCCCAGGGTCGGGTGTAAATCTGGAGAAAAAATTGTCTTGCATGATCTTTCACACGCCCTCGCGAGAACATTTTGAAGTGAAATCCTTCTTGGGTATCCTAGCATGACTGGTACAGGTCCTTGTGACAAGACCTTGTTGAGATCCTGTTCAAAATCGTCCTCAAAAGTCCCTGCGTTATGACCTAGGATGTTTGCATGTAGAAATGCCTTTTCTTAAATTTTTTTAAGATGTTCATAAAAAGTTTTGGTACGAAAATCTTCTAAAATCTTGATATAGGAGGTCCTTCTCGATTTTGGTATATGCTGTGAAATGTCTTTGGTATGAATTTTGGTCTGAAATCCTACACATGAAGATATTTATATTTCGAGCCTTCTGCCCCGCACTGTTTGGGGCCTCTTGCCGACGTTTTTCTTGTAAATTTTCGCGTAAAATAGTTCTTGTGACATGTCCATGTGCATTTCCACTGCGCAGGCACGCACAAAATCTGCGCCGCGGATTTTGTTTGATCTTGGTTTGCCGTATTTGACATGAAAATTCGATATCCACATTCATTTCGACTGCGCAGGCTCGCACAAACCGTTGTCCCGGCCTTGGTTTGCGACATTTTACCCTGCACATTCTCGCATTCACTAGTTCTTGTGACCTGTCCATGTGCATTCCGATTGCGCAGGCTCGCAGAAAACGGTTGTCGCGGTCTTGGCCTGCGGCATTTTACCGGGATTTTTTGCCCTGAATTGTTATTTTTATAATGTCCATGTGCATGTCAACTGCGCAGGCTGCCAGCAAAGAGTTGTCCCGCTCTTGGCCCTTTTCATTACGATTTTGCCGAAGTTTCCGGCTGCACTCTTGGAGGACAGTGATATGTGAAGATTTTGACCGAGGTCTCACTGAGATCCTTGTAGGAGGATGTTGTGCACATCCTGATGACATCCTGTCACTGGTCCTTGAATGATCTTGTACATGATACGCACGGCATATTTTATGCGTAGACATGGGGCAGAGTAGCGCAAAAACACCCATGTTGACTCGCACATTCACTTGGTGACAATGATTCACACTAGGTGGTTCACATTCAAGATGCCCCTGTAAAAATTTTCCTGCCCTCAATGGGCCCCGTTTCGGAATTTAAATTTAAGCGGCTGGGGCATCCCCATCTACAAAACGAAGTGCAAAACGAAGTCCTATAGCCCGAACTCAGGGCCCAGTACAAAATGTGAGCCTTCAGGGGCCCAGCGGAGGGGGACTTCACCGAAGTTGACCTACAAAATGAAGGCCCCTGCCTTTTGTTGGATCCCTAATGTTGATCTTGCTGGAAAAGGTAAAATTTTCTAAAGTGGTAAGCTGAATATAGTTTATAAGTATGGAGTCTTCATTTTGTAGGGAATCACCTCCTACATTGGCTAAGGGCCATCCTCATTTTTATGGCAAAACTGTTTGCACATGTTTTTTCCTCAACTGCAACCGCAACCGATATCAACCGACCACGCATGGTCAGGGATATACCCCAAACATTTTGTTTACAATAACAACGACCTATCCCCCTTCACGAACGACCTAAATACCTAGAACCGAAAAAAAAAAAAATGTTTTAAATGATGGACCATATTGGTGTTTTTGGCCTAAAACATGCTTGCAGGGACTTGTTTAAAATTCCTGAATTTGAAGACACGAACGATAAGCGTCCTTATTTCCTACAATAATTCACTAGAGATTGGGCGCGGTCGGGAATCCACGTTTATGTGGATGATCAAACGCAGGGCGTGCTTGATGCTACCCCAGACCCAGTTTATGCTAGCAATAAAGTGGGGTGCTGTAAACAATTTTTGTTCCCATGCGTATATTTTTATGGCAGTAAGAAAACCGTCCAGATAAGACAAACTCTTTGACGGAACGTAACTAAAACAACAAAACGAACGTCCGCCAAAACCAAAAAAATATTGGAAGGAAAAGCGGGACCAAAAATTATGCAATTACGTTTTTTGCACCGAAAATTGCCGTTTATTGCCGGAAAAAATTCTGAAGGTGATTTTGGGTTCTCATTCGTCTCATTAAGGATTACCGTAACAACCACCTTGCGAATTTACGGTTGGAGACGGGGGATGGGTTCCAACACGAAAGTCCCTCTAATGATCAAGTTGTTTGCAACTCACTCATGTAACACATGTACAAGAAAGTGTCCATTTTTGTTGTCTCTCTGGTTTCCGAACGGTCGGGTGGGCGAGAAAAAAAAAACAAAACACCAACAATTGGAGAAGGTGGCGGCTGACACAACCATGGTCAACCGAGGTCCGGATCGAGAACTGGCACAGCATTCTACTGTAAACAACATTCCCGGAGAGCACATTGCAAAGAAACAAACTGGTGCAACTTGTTGATTGTTTAAGAAATTGTGTTATCAATCAAGCCACCACCACCACCTCTACCCGAAATGAGGTGACGCAAGACCGTTTCATTGTCGAGGAATACCATTTTCCGGTCGGTAGGCAGAACCCCTTCGGGAAGGAACAAATGAATAGCACCAACATCACCGCCAGAGTTTCGAACTTGTAACTGTCCCTGTTGTAAAGGAAGGGGGGAAAAACCAGAGAGACAACCGCCCCCTGAAGAGAGAGCGGCAGTTGTCTGTTGTACATATGTGGCATGCGTCGGTTGCATGCAATTTGACCAACAAGAGTTTCCACGGAGGGTAGGAAAAACACTGCTGAGAGCACACACGTCAACACACAAATGTTGATTGCATTGTGTTTCGAAGTTTCGGCTGAAATCATCAGGCACAAGACTTGCGAAAACACCGTCGCCCACAACGCATGCGTTTTTTGATATTCGCAAGATGTCCATGATCATGTCGCTGTACAATAAATGGCCCTGGTCCCAATTGACCACCAACCCCCCTTGCAGCAAACATTTTCCGGTGCTGCCTGCAGACCGAC